CTCATAAACTTTCTATAAACTCTATGTGGCTAATTTTAACTGTGGGCCCGTGATATGTACTCAAAGGCGCCAATCCGACAGCTCAGGGGAGCGACCCACTAAACATATCGGACTCTCTGAAACTGATAAACTGATAAACTGAGGGAACTTGTTCCCGAGTACATATCACCTGATCTTTCACTTTAAATATTAGTTCTTTTGATGGTGCGTTTGATTAAAAACATTATTAAATCTGAAAACTAAAGTATTGACAAAATCTTGACTATGCCGGATAATAAACACAACTTAATACAGCAAATAAAATAACTCAGCAAATAATTCACCACGTTCACATAATAGCACATAGACTAAAATCATCTATTAAAAATCAACCAGACTTCTTTCTTTTATTTGGTTGAACAAACATGTACATGTGGTAGTGAACTTACCTGATAGAAGGTGAACTCAAACTACTCAAACAAGTGTAGCACCTTGATAACGTCTTCCGGTAAGCCCTTACTTGAAATCTTTATTTAGATTTAACATTATAATTAACTAAAGTTAGTTGTATCCTTAACTCAAGCACATAGCAAAAACTTTTAATATAGATTCCTACTGTTATACGCACAAAATGTGATCTTCCAATTGATTTTAAAACAAATCTTCAAATTTCGAAAATCATGTTGCAGCAGTTCAATAATTTTTTTTAAAATAAATTGTTTATATAAGAGAACAACTCATGCTAGAACAACTCCAAAGTTGTCACGCACACAACAACCCTTCAAAATCAAATATTTAAGTATCCTCAACTCTTTTAGACCTGATGCTAGATGCCAAATCAGAAAAATTTCTAAAATATGCTAATCAAATTTTTAGACACATCATAAACCGGAATTGAGAAACATGTCATACTTTAGCATTCATATTCCTGATTGAGAGAAATCATTAAACCGGGTTTGGAATACGTTAGCATTCAAATTTAAAATCAGTTCTTTCTGATTGTGAGAAAATACGCAGCAGATGGATTATTGTTATATATATAAATCAATATAGCTTAAACAAAATTTGAACTCTGCCAAGTTTGAAACTCAGGAAACCTAATCCTTTACGCCCAAAGTATATAACTAAGAACCAGATCATAGCAGTGAAACTTGTCCGGGCGTCCGGCCGAAACAGTCCCCGTTTCAAACGAAAATTTAAAATCACAAGCGTAAAACCATTATCATCCAAATCCAACCAGAAAATTTTCTTCCTTAGCTACTAAAATCCCTCATTGATCGGTTATTAAACTCACTGTAGCAAATGGGCTGAAAATTAAACTTACCAAACAAGAGGTAGATGAGATTCGACTCCGAGCTGAATAAAACTTCCGAATGAAGAGGACACAAACACTTTAGTCACGCTGCGTCAAAATAAAATTCAATACTAACACTTATACGTAGTATATCGTAGTAGAGTTCGTATCCACATGAAAAGGAATAATTATCTTTTTATGTAACTGGTGAATAAAGGGGGGTTTTGATTGTGTGATTTAATTTAATTAAATGCGAAGATGAACGACTCATATGAGATTTAATTCAAAGATAAAAAGGACTTGACATTGCTACTTTCCACTTGTTGATATATTTCAGTTGATCATTGTTATATCTATAACTTATCCCCTCTCAAATACTCAATCGAGGAGTATCCAATTCATCAAGGGTAGTCATTAACAACGACCGTTCATTAATAACTCTTACTATTAGTCAAGTATAGAACAACGCCATATACCGACTTGATAGTAGCATTTAATCTTTTAACTCTTTGATGAAATCAATTGAGATTGATAACCTCAACACAACGGTTTCGGTTTAACCAACAAAATTAATCCCTCTTAAGTTTATTAACCACGACCGTGCATTAATAAACCGAAGTTACTTACTTGTGAAACCATCAACGATTAACCATCGGTTCGTTGATCGTTTCTAGTAATAATTAATATATGAAACAAAACTAGTTGATCCTTTAAGTAATGTTCAAAATATTAATATGAAATATGAATAGAAATTAATTAATACTCAAGGAAGAATATTAAAGAAGATGAATCCCACTATAGTTAATATCAAGATGTTAACTAATTGTCATCTTAGTAACACTCCCCAATATTAACATAGAGGAAGGAATAGCTATTACTAAGACCAATGTCAAGATGTTAACTAATTGTCATCTTAGTAACACTCCCCAACATTGATATAGAAATAGTATTTAAAGGAAGAATTAATATTCAAGGAAAGAAGTTAAGAAAATAACTCACAACTTTAATAATCAACAAGCTTCAAGAGCAACACCAAGAAATGAGAGTTTAGCTTCTCATTTGGAGACTAAACATGCTATAAAAATATAAGAAATAACTATTCTAAACTGAGCTTAAGTATATGGAAGAAGGGATGATTAATAATGAAGAAAAGGTGTGCTATTTATAGGTGTTTTCAACACCTTTGGCTGGGTACCCGACCGGGTAGAGTATCTATCCGACCGGGTACCGGTCCAAATCAAATATCATCCACGTTCTAGTGTTCTTCAGCACGCCGGGTTGTCCTCGGTCAAGTCTCACCCGACCGGGTGAAGTATAGGGCCCGACCGGGCCAAGCAGTTTCCTGGAGATTGCATATGTTAACTCAAACCCGACCGGGTGAAGTTTTCTACCTGGCCGGGCATATACTCCTGGGCAGCATTCTCCTTGTTTTTCTTCCTTTTCCTTGCAAATAATTCTATCAAAACTTCCTAACTCACAAATAAAAGCTAAAAACACTTGCAAATAAAAGTAAACAAATGTTTACAATTACACACAAATGGTAAACAATTCACACAAAACAAATATAAAAACACACATTTATGCACTACTAACTAGTGCATATCTAGTTAGTAAAGCCCTGAACGGGCCCAAGACAAGATACACTCTAATGGAGAAAACCATCCTGACCCTGATCGAAGCTATGAAACAGTTGGCACCCTACTTTCAAGCACATCCAATTGTTGTCTACACAACCCAACCACTAGCCACTATACTAAAGAACTCGATGGCAAGCGGGCGCATAACCAAATGGACTCTCCTGATCGGGCAGTATGAGGTGAGTTTCAAACCTTGCCCCACTATCAAAGGACAGGCTCTAGCAAACTTCATTGCTGAATGCACCGCTCGACCATCAGAGGAAGCATCGAACGGGACATTCACGAATGACTGGTGGGAGCTGTATGTATATGGGGCCTCTAGCGCCAAAGGATGTGGAGGGGGAGCTGTAATCACGTCCCCCGAAGGGTTTAAAGCATACTACTTTGTACACTTTGAATTTAAGGTAACTAACAATGAGTCCGAATATGAGACCCTTATTGCAGGTTTGAAGTATGCTAAAGCCCTAGGTGCTTACCGACTGAAAGTCCGGTTAGATAGCCAGCTAGTTGTGGGCCAGGTGAACGGGTCCGCAGAGGCCAAAGAAGAAAGACTAAAGGCATACAAGGAGCTGGTCGAGGAGCATATCAGCAGATTTGAACAGGTGACGCTCGACCAGATCTCTAGGATCGAAAATGCCGAGGCAGACATTCTGTCAAAACCGGAACATGCTGCATTGGATGATCGGGCTCAAGGCATCCCTGCACACATCCAGAAATTCGCACACAGAGAAGTGCTGACCACACCAGCAACAATGGTCCTTCAGGTAGATGTTATTTCATACGCAGTACCAAGTTGTGTCACATACATGACCAAATACCTGAAGGACGGGTCGCTTCCCACTGATAAGAATGATGTGTACAACTTGACCAAGATTGAAAGAAAGCCCCAATGTTCGAACTGGTGAACGGACATCTATACAAGAAAACGTTCGGGGGACCATACTTGAAATGCCTCTCGCCCGCTCTGGCAGCCGTTGTGATGGAAGAAATACACGAAGGCATATGTTCTAGCCATCAAGGGCCGAAAACATTGGCCAGGAAGATCATCTTGCAAGGATACTAATGGCCGACCATCCAGCAGGATTGTTTTGCACACACCAGGAAGTGCAAAGTCTGCCAGCTCTATGCACCAGTTCCCGGACGGCCTGCAACCTTTTACACCCCAATGACCATCGCATTACCGTTCGCTAGGTGGGGGATCGACTTGCTAGGGCCCCTACTTACTGCTTCAGGAGGAAGGAGGTATATCATTGTGGGGATTGACTACTTCACCAAGTGGGTGGAAGCCGAACCACTGACCAACATCACAGATTTCCAGTGCCAACGATTTCTTTGGCAAAACATCATTTGCAGGTTTGGGCTTCCCAAACAAGTCGTCACGGACAACGGGAGACAATTCGTGAGCAAGAATTTCAAGGATTACCTCGTCAAATGGGGGATCAAACATTCTAGGGCATTCGTGGCATACCCACAGGCGAACGGGCAGGTGGAGAACATGAACAGAACCATCATGGATGGCATAAAAAAGAAGTTAGAAGACTACACCTCCACTTGGCCCGAACAGCTAAATTACATCCTGTGGACCTACTGGACAACACCCCGAACGGCCACCGGGGAGACGCCATTCTCCCTTGCCTATGGATTCCAGGCCAAGGTACTGACCGAAGTCCTGGTACCCACACACCGGACAATACACTACAATCATGAACGAAATGAGGACAACTTGCGTGCTGAACTCCATTTCATAGAAGAAAGAAGGGACCTTGCAACCCTAAGAATGGAGGAATACACCACCGAACAACCAAGAGATACTTTGATAGACAAGTCAAAATTCGTTCAATCCAAGTAGGAGACTTGGTCTTGAAGAAAAGGGAAAAAGCAAACCACTGGAAGGTGGAAAGATGGCCTAGAACTGGGAAGGCCCCTATAAGGTGGAAAAAAAGTATGCCGAAGGAACGTTCCGCCTTCAGACTACCGAAGGCCGATCGGCAGGAGCTTGGAATGTCGAACACCTAAGGAAGTTTTATCAATAAAAACGGTTGTTGCCACCTCTTGAAAAAAAATATACGTACATGAGATACATAAAGAGGGAGAAATTGACTTCTAGACATAAGGTCAGAAGTTGGATAACCCGGTCAGCATGACCGAACGACAATATCACAACCATGGCCAAAAGCCTCACCTCGATCAAAGCTCTGGTGGAAATCATTCTGGATGACCGAATGAAAACCACCATCTTAATTTGGAGGGAGCCTCCATTTCAGCTCGGACTTGGCCTTATGCTCCGGATGACCGAGCAGGGGATCCAATCCAGTTTAGAAGATGGTGTAAAACCTCGAGTAAGGCGAGCCGGACGGCATTCGGTGATACGGGTGACCGAGCGGGGAGTCAGGACTCTGGTTTTTAAACCTTGCATCAGTATATAGCTTTGACGAACCACGACGAAGGGAAATCGTTATGGTGGAATCCGAGCTGTAACTTGGAGGTGAGTCTCCACTTTAGCTTGAAATACAAGAGATGGCCCGTACAAGAGATCTTGTGTTTAGATTGAAAGTGGACATCTCAAACCCTTAATATGGATGTCCCGGAATGGCAGAACCGAACAAGTGCATCAAAATTATGGGCTTGGAAGATGACGGGCATTAGAAACCTTACCTCAATCTATAACCTAGATGAACCACGACGAAGGGAAATCGTTATGGTGGAATCCGAGATGTAACTTGGAGGTGAGTCTCCGTTTCAGCTTGAAATATAAGAGATGACCCGAATAGAGTATCTTGTATTTAGCTTGAAAACGGACATCTCAAACCCCTACTATGGATGTCCCAGAACGGCAGAACCACACGGGTGCATCTGAATTACGGGTTTGGAAGATGACATGCATTATCTAAGTAGTCAACCAAATCTTAGGTAATGATCTGTATGATCGGGGAATCAATCTCGAACAAGAAATGTATATTTATTCTTCGGCACTACTGGTCGGGAAATACAAAGGAATGAAAAAATGGATCAATGAAGTACCAAGACAAAAAGCTATGCTACGAGAGGATCCCTGTTCCGGAGGCACCCGCTTGGGAGTTTGAGAGCTCGGCTGAATCCTTGGCCTTCTGCCTTTTATCCATCACCCGCTGGTAAGCACGACAGAATAGCGTGTCAAAGCCTTCTTCTTTAGGATCAAAGGGCTCGGAGAAAGTCCCCTTGATCACGTCAAGATTCCGGTCGACTAACATATCTTGGCACTTAATGAGTGTGTCCTTGGAAAAGGCATTGATGAAGGCTGTGCCACCAGGCGTTTCATCTAGGAGTTTGAGGCCATCAGCTACAGGATCCTGACACTTCTCCAGGAACTTGCCCAAGTGCTTCCCAAGGAACTCCCGAGCGGTATTGGCCAGGGCATCATTCAGGCCCTTCCCCCTCTGCAAGTCTATCACCGCCTGTTTAGTGTCCTTAGAAGCATCAGCCGTGTAGGGGGGCGGGAGGATTTTCACCTTTGGCTTTCTCAATTTTGAGGTTAGTAGCTTCAGCGGCTTTCACCTTGGCACAAAGCTCGCGGATCTCCCGATCGCGCCGCTGGATCCGCTTCTCCAGTTCGGCCAGTTCCTCCCTAGCCTTATCCCCTTTATTGGCCCGCTCCTGAAGATCTGCGGCCATCTTACGAGTGGCGGCCAAAAGAATCTGGCTCTCGTCCCACTCATTGGCAAGGGATGTCATCTCCCGCTCGGCCGCCAGGAAGGCCTGGTGATAATAAGTACTGGCCTGAAAAAAGAAGAAACACATCAGAACAAGTCCAGAGGAAATTAAAAATGAGAAAACCAAAATGGTAACATACCTTTATGCTCTCCAAATGGCCTGCTTCAACCAGATCAGACCAGTGAGTCAGGTTGGTGAAACTCTCACCAGCCTTCAAGGAAGTGCTGCACCACATAGAGGATGCAGTCTGCCCAAACAGGGTCCGGCCATCGGCTCGGGGACCCATGGCGGAGAATTCCACGGTCAACCAATCGAGGATCGGGAAATTGTCAGGAGCAGAATCACCTTTCTTGCCAAGCGAGGGGCCCAACTTCTTAGGAGGAGAAGGAGCGGCGTGCATCATTTCTAAGTTAGGATCCGTCAGATCTATGACCTGATCAATCGGGACCAGCTGACCATCGCTCTCGGTCCTGGGACGTTTGTTGACGGGCCCGGATTCCCGACCAGCGAAAGAACCTTGCTGAGTAGCCTTCCCCTTCCCTTAATCGACAAGAGTGGTGGAGGAAGGGGTAGAAACACGAGGAATTACACCTGTAAGGAAAAATAATGCACAAAAATCAGTAAAAGGAGAAGAATTTATCCCGAATGAACTCAACAAACTCCAAATTTACCGATTCCAGCAGCGGAGAGCTTAGCAGACGTAAGGTAGGAATGGAGGTTCTTCGTTTCCGCCAGTTGAAACCTGTCATACTGACATTGCAAGGGGACACTCAGAGCGGGACAAATGTCCTGTGCCGGATAAGTGTTCCACCAATCAGGAAACAGGAGGGACTCCTCTACACGCACAAAGAAAAACCGCTCCTCCCACTTTTCAGGGGCGGATGGGTTCTCCGTGAACAGCTGGCGAAAGGGCCGAGCGACCAACTGCAGATACCCCGTGGTCCAGTAGGGCTGGTAGCTGTAGTAGTACAGGAACAGATCAACGTTCAGGGCCAGGCCCATGTCATGACACAGGACGATGTACCCGGTCAGAATCGTATATGTGCTTGGTACGAACTGGGCGAGGAATAAAGGGGTGCAGAGGAAGCCGGAGACCGGCAACTAGCGCATCCATATGCACCAGCACGTACCCCGGGCGATGTCACATGGGATGCTTGATAAACCCCGCGTAAAACTGACGGGGTGGGGGCAATAACTGGCGGAGCGACTATTCGGCATCCACAGGGAGGCGTTGCCGTTGTTTCCTAATGCAATGAAAATTTAAGCTATATCGAGGGGGCCGTTCAGGCATACCCCTTTCATACACAGCAAGTCATCCCCAGATGTGCACCCATCATCCAGAAGGGGCTGTTTGGGTCAAAGAGATGAGGAATCAGGAGAACCTGAGGATCGGGCAGACGTACCTTCTTGATCTTTGCAGTGGGCCTTTCCCCTGGGGCGACGAATCAATGTAGGCGCCATTTTCTCGGAGTCTGAAGAACCAGAGAAAGCAGACATAAACTAGAAAACCAAAATCTAGAGAGAGAGAGCTTGAGGGATGTTTGAGAATAAAGCAACAGAAAAAGTTAAAAGGAAGCAGCTGCATCCTTATATAGAGAAATGTTGCCGCCAAGGACCCAAATCATTGGTAGACACGTGTCACAAACAGTTGAGGGGAGTTAAGGCGTCACCAGGAGCAGAAATACCCGAACGGGATCAAAGTCAACGAATGTGGCACTGAACCACAGAAAAGGAATAGAGGTACTAACATTTGTCCCGAATGAGATAAAACATAAATGTCTTGTATCAGGATACACCTGGATTGGGCTTGGAACCACGATTCCCGATCAGGGCCCGCTGGAAAGAAACAAACAAGAAAAGCAATTAAGTCCTCAAGGGTTGTGCTTATGTGAGGAAGAATAACATGCGTGAACGGGCTGAAGGAATCTGAAAAATGATCTATGACCGACCGGGCATAACCGAAACAAGAAAAATACAAGGGTATATGAGTCAAAATGAATCACAGAAATGGCTAAGTCCTAAATATTGGACTCAACCTATGGATACCATCTCGAACAGGCAACCCGATCGCTATAATAGAACAAGATACATCGGATCGGGGAAATGGAGATCAATGATCGAAATGATCAAGTCCAGAAGTAAAACAGTGAGAAATGAACTACAGAGACAAGTTGATAGGCAAAATTTCGTTATATTCATCAACTCTATTGACCGGAAATTACAGAAAGTACTTATAAAAATAGGAATTGAAAGTACAAAGGAATGATGAGATCTATTCTACTGTTCGAGGACGTCCTCTCCCTCTTCATCATCATCACCCTCTTCGGCTTCTTCATCAATAGCCTGGACAATCTCCATCCCCAAAGCCCGCCTGCATTTTTTGATCAGGATGCAGACCAGAGAAATCGGATGGTTGCACGGGTTGCCCTAAAAGCTTTTCCAGGAGGGGAAGGATCAGCTGTAGCATGTGTTGGCACCCAGCGCCATAAACTTCTTGAGCAAGGGTGTCAACCCACCACTTGGTCACTGGATGCTGGTCGAGCATCCTAACCCCCTCCTTTTGGCGCTCTTCGCCACCCAGCTTGGCCAGATGCCGCCCGAAGACAACATGGAGCTGTTCGAGGGCATATTCTTCCTTCAGGGCCAAGAACTCCTCAGAACTCTTAAAGCTTTCCCGAACGGCGGAAAGATCAACCATCATTTCTACAAGACCGTTTGGGATCTGTGAAGGCGCCTCCTGAAACTTGACCTGAGCGGCCTCAGCCGCTGAAATATGGTCCAGGAGGGAGGCCATTTTGACACGAAGCTCCCTGACTTCGGCCTCCATCTTCTTCCGATCGGCCTCAGCTGCCTGGATGGCGGAGGAAGAAGCATGCTCAGCATTTTCCTTGGCCACGATCAGATCTCGCTCCTTGGCCAGCCGTGCCTCGCGGAGCAGTAGACTGTAAATCCCCATCTGCACTTGGTTGAACAGTAGTGACAAGGTGAACGCGCAATCAGGAAAGAAGAGAAAGAGAAAGAGACTAGGAATATAATATACCTTCAGGGCAGTCAAAGCTATACACTCCTCGGTGTCTTCAACCGCGAGAGTGGAGAGGGTGAATCCATTCATGAAAGCGGTGGTGGACCAAATCCGGCTCGCCGGACAACCCCCCCCCCCCCCCCCCCGTTCCAACTGTAAGGAATAATTGTATTTAGATTTTGATGATGCTATATTCATTAGGACTTTAGAAGTACCCCTTTAGAAATTATGTATTAGAATTTTCCTTTGTAAAATTCTTAGGTGTATTCGACCTGACAGAAGTGCTTCAAGAGCAGAAGTGCTTCAAGAACAGAAGGGCTCCCAGAGCAGAAGTGCCTCTTAAGGCTTTATTGGAACAGAGGATCTTTGGTTCCCTGCTCCAGAACAGAAGTCCTCAGGACCTCTGTTAGTATTGACTCTGACAGAAACCCTTCTGAGTCTCTGTTGGATACTCCCAACAGAAGTGCTCCAGACCTCCTCTGTTCTACTCTCTGACAAAGACACCAGAAGGTCTGACACTTAGAAGATTTTCAAAGAACCGGGAAGTCAACTTAAAGATTCCTTCAACGGCTAGGAGTATAAAACGGAAAAGCTACAGTGCATGCATTAAATGCTCATTTAATGCACCCCATGCTACGTAGAGTAATTGCAGATGATTGGCCGGAATGTCAGGAATACTTTATCCCAAAATAGTAACCCGCCAACCTTACCGGGCTCTACTAGTCAAGTCAACTGATCACTCATTTAATGCAGTTGTCCTCCTACTCCTCCAACGGGAAGACAACCTCAGTATAAAAGATACACTACGAAGAACAACCGGACAACTTTGCTATAACCTTGCTATCACATTGCTAACCGAGCAAGATATTCAAACTCTGAAAAGCAAAAGCCTCCTTGAGATTCAAACTTAGTATACTCTACAAGAGAAGGCAGAAGTTGGAAAAATTCTCTTTCCAACTCAAGCAAAGTTCCAAGTGTTCTTCAACTCTTCAAGCTCTTCACATACACACATTTTGTAACGAAGCTAGTTGGAGGAACCTCAGTTTCAACAGAAACTCTTCTTGCTACAAGAAGGACGTCCTAATAACTGGAGTAGTGGAGTGGTGATACTTCAAGGAGACTCAGTGAAAGGACCAGTGTTAAAGGAAGCCAGGCAGTGCATCCCAGGACACATCTAGACTTGAAGAAGACGTGGAGTGCTTCTTAAGTGCTAGGACTAAGGCTTTGTAAACGGTAGTTTTTACAGCTTAGTGGAACAGTGGATTAGAGGAACGAGTTGTTCCTTGAACCACTATAAAAATCCCTGGTGTCGTTTACTTACTGCTTTTAATACTTGCACTTAGATAGAACTGTATAACTCCTTGGACTTGGTATCTGTGTTCAGCAGAACTGGTTCTACGAGTTAACAGAAGGCCTTCTGCCTTTACTTCTCTGAGGCTAACAGAACTCCCTGCCAGAACCCCATCCGCTGCCAGTCTGTTCTCCCAACAGAACAGGCTACTCTGAAAATCTGGTACTTAGTTTAAAAAGCTAAAAATCAATACAGTCTATTCACCCCCCCCTCTAGACTGTATCCAGTATAACCGGGACCAACAAGTGGTATCAGAGCCTCCTTGTTCTAATAATCTTTTAGGTTATTTGTTGAACAAAGATCCACTTGTTTTTCTGTTTTACCTCATTTCTATCTGATATAACGGTGGTGTCTTCCACTGCGGCATCAGGGGTTCCTTCTAGAAGAGCAGCATTAGAAGTGGAGAGTTCGGAGGAACGAAGACGGGGCGCCATGCTTACCGAACAAAGAAATAAAAAGGGAGGAAGCAGAACCAAAAGATACCTGAACAACACCGACGATTAAGCTTTAGAGAAAAGGCAAAGCAATAGGCCGAATATGCAATGTTTCGAAACCCAGAACCAAAACTGGAGAAGCCTATTTATAATCTGTCACACCGAATCATCGGACAATAAGAGAGATACACGTCACCAGTAATGATGACAAGGACACGTGTCACGCAGAGAGCCCTCCCCAAATAATCATGACGATTATCGGGGAGTTCAAACAGCAGCCACCGAAAACCGTCAAAATATGCCTCGAGAACTGAGAGAATACTATCCGAGACATGCCCGAACAACATTCGGGCAATTCTTCTACTTCCTTATGCACTCACTAATGTTCGAGACATAGGAAGTGGGGGACTAGTGTTGGGATATTGGGTCGAGGCCCAATACCCCCGACCCAAAGTTTGAGGAGGCCAGGAGGAAACATAAGGCCCAAGGCAATCCAGACCTCCCGATCAGCATTCGGCACAATTCTTCTACTTGAAGTATTTCAGAAAACACTTTCACCTAAAACACCAAAGGCGGGGTCCATCACACCGAACGCTCCATCCGAACGTGTAATCCGCAAGTGGGAGCCGCATTTAATGCTAGAGCATGGCAGCAGCAAGTGGAAGCAAGGGTGCATACGTGGCAGAGGTCTCAGCCTACCGGATTCAGCCACGTGTCCAGCTTACCCATCCCCATTTTAGTATAAATACCTACATTAAGAACATTGTAAGGGGTTAGCATTTCAATACTCAGAGCTTAGCAATAGAATTATCTCTCTTACTCTTGTATTCTTGTACTTACCTACCGTTCGGGTAGTTTCAGTGTAATCGCAGAATTACTGAATACAAGTAGGCTCCTGAGTTGATCGATAAATATTCCACTGTTTTATATTTTATACACTTTCCTAAACCAACCTAACATTCTTAAATATCCAGAGCTTGTGTTGGGCTTTCGGATCTTCGGGATTAAACCTCAACAACCTCAAAAAGTTATACTCCATGTATGAGATGTGAAGCGACAAGTACAATTAAGAGAAAATTAGATTTCCTTACATTGAGTATTACTACTCTTTATTTTCCAGCCTATTCAAATATAACCAGACTTGGTTCTGAATTAAATACTATCACACGAATACATACCTCTCTTCTAACATAAGTTTGTTAAGAAGAATGTGAGACGCAAGTTTCAAGCTCTAATGAAAATGCATAAGCTTAAACGCGGCCGAACATAAGACATTGAACATCAATTTTCTTTTTTTGCCTGAACATCAATTTCTTTGACAGTTATTTTGAAGGAAATAGATGACCCACTTGATGTTGACATTTATAAGCGAGAGCATTTTTTCTCAATTTTTTTGCTTTTATATTAGAATAGATAGGTGCTGAAATAGACGAACGGCTAGAGTGGCTTGTAGTAGTGTGTTGTAAATAGGGATGTGCATTAATCGAGTCGGACCGTATTTTAGACCTGAACCGAACCGGAATGGACCGGTCCAGACCGGACCAGAATAAATCGGTTCGGGTTTGGGTCCTTAGTTTTGTAAGATTCCGGGTTCCGGTCTGGTCCGGGTCAAACCCGGAAAAAACTGGTCCGGAACGGTAACCTATTTTCCCGTAAAATATATACTTGGTTTTGTATCATTAGTCATTATGTTTATGACTTATTTTTGTCTTTTATTATATAACGAATATATATGGAGTTTATATTTGGTGTCTAATTAATTCCTAAGTTGTTTTTTATTTATTTATTTATGGGATTTTTCTGCTTTTTATTTGTGATGGAGTATATGGCCCAGGAACCCCCGACCATTAGACTCATACTTCTCATGCACAGGCCCAATGAGCCCGAGACACACCCAGGGCCCAAATACAGCGCCCCAAGTGTCAACAAGCCCAAGATACACACAGGGGTGCCTTCGGCCTCCTTGGTCGAGGGCTCCTGAACTCACAGGGCAGCCAGATCTGAGCATACAAAGCTACTGGGAGAAAATGGCAGAATTCAGTAGCCTTCGGCACTTTCGTGCCTTTGGTATCAGGGAAGACTTCGGATGTACGGTGCCCTCGGCTACGCAGGGCCCTCGACCGCAGGGGAAGCCCTTGGCCAACAACTCAATCGTCGAAGATTCCCTTTGGAGACAAGTAACCACCGCATTTAATGCGGCATCACATCCACCCACCGCTTTTAATGCGGTGCACATGCGAATGCCGGTGCCACCCGATTGAGGTGACCCCTTGGCTGTCAGATTGCTGACACGTGTACCCTCATCGCTTTTTTTGCTGCTATAAATAGCACCCCCTTTTTTCCATTGTAAAGGACCAGAACATCTCGAGATCATTAATACAATCGCCTCTCTCTCTCCTACTTGTTTGCTCTGACTTCTCTCTAGGTTATTCCCATAATAACCCCTCGGATAAGCTACCCCCAGGGTACACTGTCCATCATTTGGTGCTCGCGTTGAGAGGTCGGAACAATCAAGTAAGAAACCCTCCCCTTCACCAAACACAAAAACTCCTACCAAAATGGGAAAAACTCGTGGTCAGTCCAAAACCCTCGAGGAGAACCAAGTAGCCCCCGGCGAAACCAACGGGACCGAGGCCTCCTACAGGCTCTTGGTACCCGAAGGCTGTACCATCCTCGAGTTGGAGCAGGCCGCTACTGACCTCCGTCAGCAGCTGTAGAAGGCTACCCCTGATGCCCGCATCAGCCTTGATAGCCGAAGGAGGGACCGAAGTGAGAACCAAGTTCCCCCTTCGGCTCCAGCCATCGACCTTCAGGCCGCCTTTACGGCCTTTGTCCAAAACATGGCGATGAGTTCTGGTGCCTTCATTCCACAGGCACCCCTCCAACCCTATTTCGGAGGGAATGCTGTCCATTTTCCGCCACCCCTCCTCTGTTCAACAACCCCCCCCCCCCATGAGGATTGGCAACGCTGAGGGGGTCGTGGCAGAGGACAATGCCTCCCAAGAGGCTCAATCCAAAGACAAACGCTGCGCGAACAAGGAGAGGCCCCAAACCTCTGCCCTCGAGAGGTTGGGAGGAGCTCCTGGACGCCGAGGGGTCCAAGACCGCCTCGGTGGAAAAATGACAAGCAGGCCTCAGGAAAGCGGAGGCTCCGTCTCGGGGGCCGAGGAAAGGCCTCCCCTTCGGGACAAAGGCAAGGGCCTCCTTTATCCAGAAGACGCCAGGCACCAAATCAACCAAGCTCAGTCCTTCCGGGCCAACTCCAAGGGGTTGTCCCGAAGGACCCCAAGGATGAAATCATCGAGACCCTCCTCCGTCAACTCGAGGAGACGCGTCAGGCGCCCTCGACGACTTCCACGCTGGGGCCAGATCCGCAGTATGCCGCCCTCCAGGCACAAGTAGAGGAGATGAAGCGCAAGTTCGCCGAGGGCTCAGACGAACCCCTTATTCAACTCCCGACCAAGAGGCCGAGGGCGGATCCCATCTTCTTCACAGATGCGGACCTGCCCCCGGGTTCTCTTCCTCATAGGGATGCCCTCGTCATTCGCACCGAGATCAACAACGCTGTCATCCTCCGCACTTACGTTGACACGGGAAACTTCGTCAACGTAATGTATCTCAGCATCTTCCGGGAACTCGAGCTTGACAGGGGGACCCTTCGACACATCAACACCACCCTCTCCGGATTCACAGGGGACTGCATCGATGTCGAGGGCGTCATCACCTTGATGGTAGAGTTCGGCGATGGATTCCATAGGGCCAAGCTCGAAGTGGAATTCGTCATCGTCAACCTCGACTGCGCACACAACATCATCCTCGGCCGGCCCGCCCGCCCTCGAGGACTTGGAAGCCGTCATCTCCATGAGGCACCTATGCCTAAAATTCCCCACACCCACCGGCATCGGCTACTCGAGGGGGAACCATAAGCTCTCTCGGGCTTGCTACTTTCAACTCACCAAAAAGGTTAGTAAAACTGAACTCCGAATCGATAAAATCACTACCAACGCCTTGGAAGAGGAGGAAGGCAGACTGAGGGCTGAGCCTATCGAAGACACCGAAGACTTTGTACTCGATCCGGCCAAGCCAGATAAAGTCTTGAAGATCGGAGCCAAGCTCCCCGAAGCCCTCCGCGCCTACTCCATTGATTTTGCATGGGGGCCAGAGGACATGCCGGGAATCGACCGAAGGGTTATTACTCACCGCCTGGTGGTGGACCCTTCGGCCAAATCGATACATCAAAGAAGAAGGCCCCTCTCGGCCGAGATACGGGACTGTCAAGAAAGAGGTCACCATGCTCCTCTCCATCAAACACATCCGGTAGGTGAAATACCCTTCATGGTTGGCTAATGTGATCCTTGCGCAGAAGCCTCCTACCTTCCGCATGTGTGTGGACTACACTGACTTGAATAAGGCTGCCCAATGGACCCCTTCCCTCTACCAAACATTGATCAACTGGTAGATGAGACCGCGAGATGCGAAATCATGTAATTCCTCGACGCCTTCTGCGGGTATCATCAAATCTATATGCATGAGGAGGACGCGGAAAAGACGGTGATGGAGTATATTGCCTAGGGACCCCCGACCCATAGACTCCCACTACTATAACAAAGGCCCAATAAGCCCAGGAAGCACAACAGGCCCAAATCACAGCGTCCCAAGTGCCAAGCAGCCCATGACGTACACTTGAGTGCCTTCGGCCCCCATGACTGAAGGCTTATAAACTTACAGTCCAGCTGCTTTTAAGCACTCGAAGTGTCTGGGAGAAAACGACAAAAATAGTAGCCTTCGGCATTTAGAGCCCTCGGCACTCTGAGGCCCTCGGTACGCAGAGCCTTCGGACTATCATCTACAGCCGAAGGCATCTTCCTCGACAGTATCTCCTCTTCACATGTGCTGGATCAACGTACCAAGTACAAACGTCGCATCCAACCACCGCATTTAATGCGGCCACATGCGAGTGCCAGTGCCGCCCCAGTTGAAGTGACCCATCAACCACCAGATTGTTGACACATGTCCCTATCTAGCATTTATTGCTGCTATAAATAGCACCCCTTTCCCCATTTGTAAACCACGCTAAAACGCTAAATACAACTCTTATATTCGAACTCTCTCTCTCTCTTACTTATTTGCTCTGACTTCTCTCTAGTTACTCCCTGCAGTAACTCCTCAGATAGGCTACCCCCGGGTACACTATCCATCATTTATTGCTCTCGTTGAGAGGTCGAATAAATCAAGTACGAAACCCTCCCCTTCAGCTAAAAACACCTATCAAAATGGGAAGAAACACCCGTGCCCCATCCAAGACTCATGAGGACAGGAACCTGGCCCTCGGCGACGTCGACGCCCCCGAAGCCTCTAACAGGGCTCCCGAGGGTGGTGCCCTCACTGGGTTGGAACAGACGGCTGTCGACCTGTGCCTTCAGCTCCAACAGAATGCCCCCGACGCCCGCCTTGGCATCGAGGCCAAAAAGAAGGACCGAAGCGAAAACCAAGTGAGCCCTCCGGTTCTCACCATTGACGTACAATCGGCATTCTCCGCCTTCATCCAAACTCTCACTCAAAACCCAGGTGCCTTCGGCACGCGGGTACCCCTTCAGCCGCAGGTCGGGGAGAACGCCATTCTCCCCCCTCCTCCGCTCCCCTTCGTGAACCCTATCCTACCGCTAGGGAACGACGAGGGGTCATGGCCCAAGACACCGCCTCTCAGGAAGTCCAATCCCGGGACCGCCATGGCGCAAACAAAGAAAGGACCCGGACCTCCGCCCTCGAGAGGCTCGGAGGGGCGCAAGACCGCCGAGGGGTCCAAGACCGCCTCGGGGGAAAGGTGCTCCAAAGACCTCAGTAAAGTGGCGGATCCGTCTCCAGGGCAGACGAAAGACGTCCTCCTCAGGACAAAGGCAAGGCGCCACTCCACGCCGACGATGCCAGGCACCAGATCAACCAGGCCCACTCGACCCGTGTTCGTTCGTAGGGGGCGGAGGCCCTCCCGAAGGATCACAGGGACGAGATTATTGCGGCCCTCCAGCACTGGCTTGATGAAATGGTGGCCCATCGAGCACATACCGCCGTCGCTGCCCCTCATGCAGATCCAAAATATGAGGCCATGCTGGCCAAAATGGAGGAGATGCAAAAGAAGATAGCCGAAGGCTCCGGGGAACCCGTAATCCAACTCCGGACTAGGACGCCATTTACCCCAAGGGTATTGGCGGCCAACATTCCGGAAAAATACCAGGGGCAACCCATCAGGCCCTATGAAGGAAAGACAGATCCCCAAGAGCATTACAGCTGATATCAAAACAATATGATGATGGTGGGGGCATCAGATGAATATTTGTGCCGTTGGTTCCTCTCCACCTTAGAGGGACGAGCGTACGAATGGTTCAACCGATTGCCCGAAGGCTGCATCGATTCATGGCAAGAACTCACCCAACGCTTCTTGACGCAGTTTGCAGGGAGGGGCCGGTCAAGAAAACACTTCTCCCACTTGCTGACAGTGAGACAAAAGAAGGAGGAGACCCTTCGGGATTTCTTGGAACACCGGAGAACGGCGGCTGATAAAGTTGACGGCGCCGACGATGGGACCCTCCTTGCCCTACTTCAAACAGTCCTCCGCCCCGGGATTTTTCAAGGAGCCTCATCATCGAGCCTCCCCGCGATTACATAAGGGCCCTACAGCGGGGGGACCGGTATGCCGAGACCGAGGAGGTGGAAAAATGCCATCACAATCCTGATCAGCAACACCCTCTGCCAGATGACAAAGGCAACCGGGGTCCGGGGGCTCCCCATAATCAATCCAAGGGTTCGGCACCCCCCGGTGATCGCCCCCGGCATGGCCAAGCCAAACCCGGGGGAGGTTACAAGGGAAACCCGAAGGCTTGGGCCCAGCCCATTCTCTTGGAGCACCCTCGGACGCCCTTAACACACCCCATCCGTGTCATCCTAGACTTCGCCGAGGAGAGGGGCCTAGTGGAACGCGACTCTCGCGCACCCCTAGAGGTATATGCCATCAACCCCAATTATCCTTACTGTCGGTTCCATCACAACAGAGGGCACAACACCGACGACTGCCATCAGCTGAAGACGGCCATTGAGAGGTTGATACAGGCAGGCCACCTGTCCCAATATATCAGAGGCCCTCCGCCTCGGGGGACCCCTCACTACCAGGGGCCTCCTAAGAAAGCAAACGCTTGGGTCAACCCAAACACCATCCCCCTCGGTGACCCGAAGGGCAAGAAAAGGGAGATTGGGAACCTCGACGAGGAGGAAGAGTACAACCAGTACCAGGAGAAGAAGCGCCACATCCACATGATCATTAACGACAACACCGGAGGCGACTCCACAAGCCAAAGGAAGAAGTGGGCTCACTCTCTCTACGTTGGGGAGGTCAACCACATGCCCCCAACCAATAGGCCGAGGGGGGATCCCATCTATTTTACGGATGCAGATCTGCCCCCGGGTGCCCTTCCTCACGGGGATGCCTCGTCATCCGTACGGAGATCAATGACACTATCATCCAAAAAACTTACGTTGATACAGGTAGCTCCGTCAACGTTATGTACCTCAGCACTTTCAATGAGCTACACCTGGAGAGGGAGTCCTTTCGGCCCATCAAGACCCCTCTTTCCGGCTTCACCGGGGACACCATTGATTCCGAGGGGGTCATTACCCTCCCGATACTATTCGGTGACAGGCTCCATAGGGCCAAGATCGAAGTGGAGTTCGTCGTCGTCAACATCGACCGCCATACATTTTCATGTTTGATTTTCTTTTTAATTTTTAAAGTGTATTCTTTTCTTTTCCTCAATATCAAGTTGGATTGTGCTAGCAAAAGAGATGGTTCATCTTTCTCTGTTTTTACTTCCTTGCTTCTGGATAGCAGACAAACCTACCTTGCAGGCTCCAAAAAAATCCAACTTGTCAGACAATCCTAGGAATCCCAGGGAAATAAGAAAGAAATGGCTTGTACTCGGGTATGGTCTTCATTCCAATTCTAATTAGCAATTTAGCATACAAAATCATTCTCGTGGTCTTCAAGTTGCATTGGTTGAATGAACAAAAAATGGGCAAATTCTATTGGGAATAATTTATTGTATTTAATATTTTGTAATTAATAGTCTATCCTTTTGTATTCCTTAGGACAGACCTATCGTTTAACTTTCTAGCTTCTTCTCTTTTCATTTCATGAAAGCATGGAAAGACAAACAATTGGATTTCCTCCACATACTTTCTTTTACTTTATGGTATCAAAGCCAGGTTTGCTTCCTGTGTTCTCGTCGTTCTTAACATGGCTGAAGATGATAAAATTCCTTCACCATCAAATCCCCTTTTCACTCTCAGCCCAAATGATAATCCTGGAGCTATTATTACTCATGTTGTCCAAAAGGGATCTAATTATGAAGAATGGGCAAAGGGAATTCGAGTATCTTTACGGGCTAAGTGCAAATCACAATTTATTGACGGTACGGTGGAGCAACCGGACGAAGGATCTCCAGACCTTGAGCGGTGGTGGACAGTAAATTCAATGATAGTAGCCTAGATTTTTAATACCATCGATCCTACTGTGCGATCAACCATTTCCTACACAGATGTAGCTTTTGACTTGTGGGAAGATATAAAACAGAGATTTTCAGTAGGAAATGAGGTGAAGGTCTATCATATAAAATCTGAAATTGCAGAATGTAAACAAAAGGGCGGCGAATCCATCATGAACTATTATGGCCGCTTGAAGAAACTATGAGATGATTTGAATGATTATGATCCTTTACCGACCTGTAAATGCAACGGTTGCATGTGCGATTTAAAATCTTTGTTTCGCAAGCGACGGGATATGCAACTGATCCTAGAGAATGTTCTTTACGTGCCAAACTTTAATTGCAATTTGCTCTCTGTGACTCTGTATCAAAATTGCTGCAAAACAACAGATTAAGTATACATTTCACTAATTTGAGTTGTGTTGTAGACCGTATCTTGAGGATGAAGATTGGTGTGGGTGAGCAGATTGGGGGGCTCTTCCATATGTCAAGGGGGGAGCCAGCTCAGGTCAACAACGTAATCAGTGAGGATGTTGAACTATGGCATAAAAGATTGGGTCATCCTTCTTTACATGTATTGGAGTTTTTACAGCAACTTGGAAACTTGAATAAAAGTAATCGTAAGTTAGCCGAAAAGCCTTGTGATATATGTCAAAGAGCAAAACAGACTCGTGATAATTTTCCGATCAATGGAAATAAAGCAAACACTTTATTTGAGCTAATTTACTGTGATATTTGGGGTCCTTACCATGAGAACCGTGCATGTGGTTCAAAATATTTCTTGACTATTGTTGATGACTATTCAAGGAGTGTTTGGGTTTATTTGATGAAAAATAAAAGTGATGCTCCGTGTTTGCTGTTGAATTTCTTTGCATTAATTGAACGACAATTTGATAAAAAGGTGAAGATTTTGTGTAGCGATAATGGAGCGGAGTTTAAAAGAATAAGTAATTACTTGCGTGAAAACGACATGATTCATCAGACCTCCATGGTCAAAACACCACAACAAAATGCTCGACTAGAACGTAAACATCGACACATTTTAAATGTGGCCCGAGCTTTACGTTTCCAAAGTTTCTTGCCTATTGATTTTTGGGGGGAATGTGTGCTTGCTGCTACTTACTTAATCAATAGAACTCCCTCACGTGTTCTTAACGGAAAAACACCAATCGAATTATTATATGGGCGACCTCCGGATCTTAGCTTGGTTCGAGTATTTGGTTGTCTTTGTTATGCCAAAGACCTCAACTCACTTAATAAATTTAGAAGTCGAAGCCGTCGATGTGTCTTTCTAGGGTATCCTTTCGGGAAAAAGGGCTGGAATTTATTTGATTTGGAAATCGGGGATTATTTTCAGTCGCGAGATGTGACATTTTATGAGAATATTTTTCCGTTTGCAAATAAAAATGAAGTGATGCATTTAAATCCGACGTATTTAAAAGGTGAGCTGGACAGTGTGACTTTTGTTGAAAATGGAGCTAGCCATACAGATCATTATACTACACAACCAGTTGGTTCAAAAGGAGAATCCACTGACCAGCCGAACTCTGTGCAAGATAACACACAAGTGGAGAAATTGGCTGCAGTGGCAGATTCCCAGAATCAGGAAGTCTCCAATCCAGCGGGCGAAGTGGAAAATGAAGCATGTTCCTTGGGGAGAATTTCCCAAAATGAAATCAATGATACAGTTGCGCATGAGGATACTATGGAAAGTCATGAAGAAGGATAAACAGGAGACGATGTCACTAGTGAGAATCTGGGAAGAGGAAGACGTCAGAAGTTTCCGAATGTACGCTATCGAGATTATGTGACGTTTACGACACAAGTGCCCCCCACAAAAACTACACTCACAACTTCTTCCTCCTCAGGTACTCCCTATCCCATAACTCAATTTGTGAATTGTAAAACTTTTTCTGTTGCACATCGTCATTATCTTGCAGCAATTACAGCTGAAAAAGAACCTACATCTTTTAAGGAAGCAATGGGCGATCCTCGCTGGAGAAAGGCCATGAAAGATGAGATAAAAGCGTTAGAGGACAATCAAACATGGAGTATAGAGGATCTACCTCCTGGGAAGACTGCTATTGGATGCATGTGGGTATTCCGCATTAAACATCGTTCTAATGGTACTGTCGAACGATACAAGGCACGACTAGTTGTTTTTGGTAATCACCAAACTGAAGGAGTAGACTTCAGTGAAACCTTTGCTCCCACCGTGAAGATGGTGACAGTTCGAACCTTTCTAAGAGTAGCCGCTGCCAAGAATTGGGAACTGCATCAAATGGATGTGCACAATGCATTTCTTCACGGTGATCTCAGAGAAGAGGTGTATATGAAACTTCCACCTGGTTTTAACATCGGCAAACCTAGAAAGGTATGTAGGCTTCGTAAATCTCTTTATGGTTTGCGACAAGCTCCTCGTTGTTGGTATGCTAAGTTGGCCAGTGCTTTATGCGAATATGGTTTTTCTGCTAGCATTTCTGATCCTTCCTTATTTGTGTATCAAAAGGGATCCATTACAATGAGTATCTTGGTTTATGTTGACGATTTGGTTATTGCCGGTAATAATAGTACATCGATCGCTCAATTCAAGGTTTATCTTAGCGATTGGTTTCATATGAAAGATTTGGGAAAGCTGAAATATTTTTAGGGCATTGAGGTTGCTCGTAATAAAAGCGGAATATTTCTTAGTCAACGCAAGTACGCCCTTGATATTTTATCAGAAACTGGTCTTCTTGGTGCCAAACCTGCAACTCTTCCGATGGAGGAAAATCATCGCTTGGCTCTAGCTTCTGATGATCCAATACCCGACCCTGCATGTTATCGACGTCTTATGGGTAGATTAATCTACCTAACTATTACACGGCCTGAATTATGCTACTCGGTTCATATTTTGGCACAATTTATGCAACAACCAACCAAATCACAGTGGGAGGTAGCACTTCGGGTTGTGCGGTATTTAAAATCTATTTTATTAAGTGCTGATTCTGATCTCACGTTGGGAGCATATTGTGATGCCGATTGGGCTAGTTGTCCTTTGAGTAGACGTTCTATCACAGCCTACTTTGTTTTTCTTGGAGGTTCGCCAATTTCCTGGAAAACTAAGAAACAGGCTACTGTCTCACGCTCTTCTGCTGAAGCAGAGTACCGTGCGGTCCGTGCTATGACATCGGCTACATGTGAGATTTTATGGTTGAAAGCATTGTTGAAGAATTTAGGAGTGATGCAAATGATGCCAGTACAGTTACACTATGATAGTCAAGCTGCTTTACACATAGCCCATAATCCAATTTTTCATGAGCGGACAAAACACATTGAAATTGATTATCACTTCGTCCGTGATGAAATTATCTGAGGTACTATCTCACCCTCATATGTGCATACATCATCTCAACTGACTGATATTCTTACTAAAGCAGTTGGCCGAAGAAAGTTTCAGGAGCTACTTTCCAAGTTGGGCATTAAGAATCTTCATGCTCCAACTTGAGGGGTCTTGAGAATAATTTATTGTATTTAATATTTTGTAAATATTAGTCTATCCTTTTGTATTCCCTAGGACAGACCTATCATTTAACTTTCTAGCTTCTTCTCTTGTACACTTATATATGTTGTATCTTTCATAGTTTCATTTCATGAAAGCAAGGAAAGAAACAATTGGATTTCCTCCACATACTTTCTTTTACTTTAAATTCCCGGTTTGGTGTACAAAAATAGCTAACCACCATTTTTGCCGATGAGCCATATAATTAAAAGAAAATTAAAAGAAATGGAAGGAAAAGAAATGGAAAAGAAAATTAATAAGAAATTAAAAGCAATTGCCACATTTAGAAAACCACTAGGAGCGGACGACCGGTCAACTTCAGGTCATTTTGGTTTAGATGACTGTTTTTTATATATATGCACATAACACTTTTATTTATGTATAGACTTAAGTGATAGTTTTGAAATAGTAAAAGGCCTATCTGACCCTTTTGTTAAAAGACACAATACCCTTTTGTTAAAAGACACAATACTTTAGAATCGCATTTGTTAACTTGACTTGTATCATGTTAGCATTATGCAATTATTACTATGTAAAAAATGCTTAAGGATTAACATTTTCTATTTATGAATTTAACCATGTATAAAATTACATATAATATATGTTTTATGAATTTAACCATGTATACAATCACATATAATATATGTTTGATGTTGACCGGGTTTATCGATCGTTGACCAGGTTGACCACTGGTTGTCTCTCCGGGCCACTTCCGGATCCGGTTTTTACAACTACTCTTACACCTCAACATCAATTTTAAAGGATGTATTCAAGGACAATAACTATTCCAATTCATCATACAAATCATCAATAGACAATACTAGTTACCAAATTCTTTTCATACAGAAACTTTTAATCGATCCTGTAATTGTACAGATGATTAAAATATTTTACTGACCACAAAGAGAAAGGCCGCCTCTTAAGCATCTTTCATATAAATAATGTTCTAACATTTACCAGAATCTCTTATTTCTTCCACATCGAAACATATGACATGCTCTTTCACCTGCGGATCTCTTGTACCAGACCTACTGTACCTCTGCCCATTTACAATGTTGAACTGAAACCGAAGAGGAGAGTCCGGATAGAACCACATGGTTACTGACTCAGACCAAAGACTAGCATCTATTAACAGCTCCAGAAGGACAGCTTCAAATTTTAAGGACACTGGATGCTGGAACCTGAAGGACATTGCGCTGTTCCGCTGGAATGAGAAGAACAAAACATCATCAGAGGCCGTCAACGGAGCTTGGGTTGGCTTGGAAAAAACATAAGGTTAATCATAAATTAATAAAAAATGACTCTGATCGACAATACATACACCCACCTTAAGAAATACAGAATAACCTCGAATAGAGAACTTAATGCCTTTATCTGTCACAGATATCACAACTGGAAACCCACCCCAAAAGAAGAAGATTACTGTTAGCTTTCAGCAGAAGACAGCAACCAGAGTCAATAGTTCTATAGTAAAGATCAATAGAACATTTTATCCCACAAATCCTTACTTTCATCATCCTCTAAGCGGCTAGCTTCAGGATCAGGAACTGATATAGGTCCCATTCTAGCATCTACATAAAGAGCGGTGTTACCACGCTCATCAGTGTAGCAAAGCTCTCCAATAATTCTAGTGAACAGAAGTGAGGGGAGTTTCACAGTGGCATGATAATCCTCTTCCGCAACTTGTAGGAGTGGTGGTGGCGCCATGAGGTCAGGGAGTTCAAGATAGGTCAGGGTAAACGGCGGCGCGTCTAAATCTGCAAAGTCACGAGCAATCAGGCGAACAACCACAACAACAACAGAACCAAATCAAGTACAGAAACGAAAACATACCTTTCTTGAAAGAGATGGTCTTCTTTTCTTGGTCGATCTCGATGCAGATGACGCAACCTGCACAGGCACCGCAAATTGCATCCATGCGATTCAGATCCAACCGCATGGTAATCTTACGGTCATTGTAACCGGTGTCCGATTTGATTTCTATCCAAGCTTTGATGTCAGCATTCACAACGATTACTTCTGCGCTATCTGCGCCATTCATGAGAACCCCACTGGCGGAGAAAACCAAAACATGATTACCATCTTCCAGAATAGGCCGAACAGCCTTCATAACAGTATTCAACTCAGAACCGCTAACCCTTAAACGCAACATCGTAGAAGATCAAAATCTTAAATTAGAGAGAGAATAAGAGATAAAAGCTTTCTAAGGTTTCAGATAATGTCGAAAAATTCCTGTCACACAAGCCGCCCGTCCGTACTCATCTAGCCCATTGAATCGTTGACAACGTCGCTTATAGGAGTAAATTAGTGCTAATTTTAAAGAATATTGAAACTTATCACTAATTAGTTCTATTTTTAAAATAAAAAACATGACAGTTATTATTTAAACTTATAACAAATAGTTACGAAATATAATCTTGTCATAATAATCAAAACTTACGTGACACAAATTATCATCATTAATTATTTCTGAAATGTCATCAAAAGAATTCCCTCCAAAATTTTGGCGTCATATTTTGGCGCTCAATTTTTAAGTGACAAATTTCCTTTTATTGTCATAATAAATATCAATTATTGTTGAAAAAAATATGAGTTAAAATGGCAGATGCTAATATTGTCACAACAAATCCTTTTACTGTGACGAAATTTAATTATGTAACTATTACTGAATATGATATGACAATTGTTTTGTGTGTCACGTAATTTTTTGTCACAAAACATGTGATTTCTTGTAGTGAAACACCATCAACATCACCTACCGCTTGATAGTATAAATAGTAGTATTTATTTCATCTTAAATGGTTGACAAATGATACTCTCCAACGCTAAAAATCCCCCACCCCCCAGCTGAAATAGACGATCGGCCTGGAGTGGCTTGTAGTAGTGTGCTTTAAATAGACCAAATTCAGAGTAATAAGATGTGACCCACTTACTAGACTAACTTATTGTTTGTCCATTATTGCTTGTGCGTAATCATCAATACAATCCACCAATCGGACGACTACAATCATTGCTTGGACGAGGTGGCGGTTCACTGTTCCGAAGTCTGTGTCAGTGTGTCATTGTGGTCTTTGTTAGTATAGCTGCGGTGTCATTGTGATCGTCAGCGGTCACCGGTCGATGGATGTCACCGTAGCGCGTGTCATTGTGGTGAATGTCATTGTAGTGGATGTCACTACCAAAATGTTAGTGGAGCCTATGTGTGAATTAGTAAAACCAATGAGTATTGGTCACTTTTGTGGAAGTTTAAAAACAAAGATCATTTTTATCTATTATCCTTCTTTTAATAATACATCTGTCTCATGAAAGGTTCTCGTCCACTATTTTCCGTTCAACTAAAGTCTTCTTAATCTTTTAATTTATATATCTAATTTTTATCAAATTTAAGTTTTCTGTTTGCTACTTGATAAACTTTCAATGTAATTTCTGAATATGTAAATTTTATTTACTACAGATAATCTTATTACATACAGGATCATATAACTCTATGTTCAGTCAAACATCAGAAATCGCATGATAACCTTTGTACGGGATGAGGCTGAGGGAGTAATATCTACCTATATACAAAAGCAGGAGAAATTTGGCTCCTTTCTTAAACGGTGTGTATTAATTCTAACAAACCGGTGCTTCGTGTGGCGCCTTTCTTAGTTTTCTTAAGTAATTTCCCTTTCAAATACTTCACACATTTATCATAATCCGAGAAGTCAAGACTTGGAAGAATGCTGTCTTTCACGAGTCTTATCATTCGATCTAATGATATGTGGCCCAACCTTTGATGCCACAAATTGAACGACGATTCCAATTCTCTCTTTCTCTTGCAAGGATTTTCAGATATATTAAATGACAATTGAGATTCTATAAAATTAGTACCTAAGCATAATTTATAGAGGTTTCCCTCCATGCTGCCAAATCCTATTACATTTGAGTTCAACCTTATTGTCACTTTATTGTATACGAAATTAAATGTAAACCCATCAGCACTTAGTTTCGATACACACGCTAAATTACGAGTAATATTAGGTACATAAAGAGCATCACGAAGATGAAGAATGAAACCACTCTCTAAAATTAATGAGATAGTTCCAATGGCCTCTACTTCTAATTCTTCTCCGTTGCCCACCTTAATCACTCTTTGCTTTCTTCCCAATGTCCGGATTGAATGGAATCCCTGCAGTGTGTTTGAAACATGAACCATTGAACCATTCAATCCAGCAAGTATTAAGGGGAACTGATGTGTTCAATTACTCATAAATTACATAAGTGGTTAAGTTACCTTTCTTAGTCAGCCATGCCTTAAACTTAGGGCACTCCCTCTGGTAATGCCCTTTGAAGCGACAAAACTTACAGTAGGGACCAGAGCTCACGTTTGCACCTATCTTTGGGACCTTAGAAATGTTACCTTTTCCTCCTCCTTGACGGTTGCCTTTCCTTTTCCTTGAGTTTGTGATAGTAAGATGAGCAACATCTGGTTTTTCAAATTTTAGGTGCTCTTCTTCTTGAACGCACATAGCAATTAACTCGCTCATTGTCCACTTCTCTTTCTGCGTGTTGTAATTGATCTTGAACGGACCATAAGACGCATGTCCGTACTTTTGAGTTTGTTGGACATATCAGACATTTTCATGATGTGCTCACGAATACCACTCACTCCATCATACTTACTCGTCAACATTTTGAGAACAAGGGTACTAGCATGTGCTTTAGAAGTGCCCTTAATTATTCGTCCACATTTTTTTTGTCCCGGAATAAACTACTCGAGGTGGAGGAAGTGCCGAGGACACTTCCTAAATTTATTCTTCCACATATTCTAGGTAGGTCTTCGCATTTTCAGAATCAGGAATGGCTCCGCGAATAGTATAGATATGGAATTCTTGATCACCATGAGGCACATTCGGTTGGACGTCTCCCACTGTTCATAAGAACGCTTCTGTTCCACAGTACTTTCATCATTAGGAGCACTTGGTGGATCCATTATGAGTGCTTGGTCGAGGTCCATCATGCCAAGTGAGAGTTTTACAGATTCTCTCCATGTTGAAAAGTTTGTACCATTTAGAGGTTCTATCCCATAATTGTACGGGGTAAAAGTAGACGCTGAAATAAAAGTTTTAAGAGAGGCAATAATAGAAGCTATTTATGATATATAAGGGGATACAGTAAAGCATGTCAATTATTAGTAAATAAGCCTATTATCAACACCAAATACTAAGTATGAATTACACTTTCAGTATTAAACATTTATTGCTATACATTAAATATGCATTGTATTGTTCTGAAGTGGGGGGCAAGTTTTGCAACTTCTGGTGCGCGGAATAAAAGCTACTGATCAAAATAATATGAACTCACATTTTAGTACTCTTGTCTGCAATATAAAAGTTACTAATCAAAATACTATGGACTCACAATTTAGTACTATTGTTTTGAGCTTATCACAAATTATTCTCTTTATCTAACGCCTACCAGTAAACAATTTTGACTATTGGCGTGATTTGGTGAATTGTCCACTGCAAAATAAAATGGAGAATTAGTCTCTTTTAACTTTCAAGTACATTGTTTATAACTCAAGTACAAGACAACAAACAAAACAAAATTATTTTCTGAAGATCTGATTTAATGATTAATTTACATGCAACATGATAAAAGTTTTATCAAGTTTTAGTCTATTCAATCCTTGAATACAAGTACTAAAAAATCAATCTTTATGCGGAAAATATTTTCTAAGTGCGGGTTTCTGAAAAAAGTTGTTCAATCTATATATACTATATAAATTGAAATTGAAATAGAAAATTTGAAAACATTGAACTATTTCAGAAAAATGTCTACTTATTTTCTCACAAGAAGTTGTTATCCAGTACCCAAAAAGTGTCAAAAAAGTTGACAAACTTCACATACCAAGTGTTGACCATAAGAAGCTACAATTTAACCAATAAATCAATTAATGAATGGATTTGGAGCACTAACCCAAAATAGATAAAACAACCAAGAAAAACAGACCTGTCGATATGAAACCTCCCTTGTAGGAATTGGAATCATAAAAAGACTCATAAAATAAACCCAAATAGGCCTGACTTGAGGGCAGTTGTAGAAAATATGAGAGACAGTAATGGAATGACCTTTACAAAAGGGGCATTGAGAGGGGAAAACACAGATGTTAAACTTACTAAGATTCTCAGGGAGGGGTAGAATATTGTGGAAAAGCTTCCACATGAAAACTTTAATGGGGAGGAACTGTTTAGGATGCCAAATATGTTTATTGGAAAATGTGACTGATTTAGTGGCTCTGACTTCCTGAAATGTAGATGAAAGTGAGAAGCTACCATCCTTAGAAGGCTTCCAGATTGTGAAGCCATTTTGTGTCTCAACCAAATCAAGGCCTTGCTCATGGGTATGACAGATGCTCTTCCATACAGTTGAATCAGGTATCCTAGCTTGCATATCATCCCCCCTAAGATATCTAGCATGCATAAAAGTAGCCCAAAGAGTATTATTATTGTACCAGCTCCACCAGAGCTTGAGGGAACAAGCAGATTGAATGTCAGTGATAGATCCGATGCCCAATCCCCCCTCCTCGCAGGGAAAGCACAGCCTTTTCCATCTCATCCAATGGTGTTTAGGTTAAGATTATACATGTAGAGCATAAGGGTACCAACCAGCAATCACTAAAAACGAAACTATGAAGTTAGCATATGGATCCAACTTCATTTGGAGGATCTCATGTTTGAAATAGAAGGGCCACTATTTTTAAGAAAAACTAGCACGGACAGTTTTTTGAAAATAGTGCATAGAAGCATAACCTAACATACAAGAGTCTATAGATGCTAATTGTTCCGCACTGAGACGGACATCCGGGATCAAGGACAGGGCAGCCAACTGCCCATGGGTGTTGGCAGCTAAGTGTTGGCAGGTAAAATACTTAAGTGATTCTTTTGAAGTCCTCATGATAGTATACTTTATAAATTAAACAGTAACACACAAAAGCAATAAAGTTAGCTGAAACACCTTATATACTTTTTAAAAGACATTATTTTCAGTATGGTTCATAACACTATAATAATTTCTAAGTGTTGACCCCTATTATTTTTAAGTAGGGATCTCAAATTTTTACTTCATGCAAATCTAAGGTGGGTGGTGACTCGCCACTTACAAGTACTACAATACTACAATATACTCCCTATATATATATATATATATATATATATATATATATATGCAATGTAGAAGTACTGAAGTATATACATATGAAATTTGGGGGGGCACAAATTGCTAACTGGTAA